TGGAATTTGGGCTTTGGTGGGAACTTCGTTTTCTTTTCTTTTGCTTTAAGCAGTCAATATTGACAAATTATGGTTCACACATGGATGTGTGAATCATAATAAAAACTACATATCATAATAAAAAGTACACATTTAGTATATAAATAATATACATCTCTTAAATATAATGTATATTTTTAATATATTAAAAATATATTATTTTTGTACAAAATATATATTATTTTACAGTATACAAAATATGATTCACAATTTGAGTGAATCGTGATCTACACAATACTAATTGGTCAATATTGAACATTGCCTTTAAATATTTGACCTGGTTTCAGGGACAACGAATGGGTCAACTTAATACACTGATTGAGCCTTTTATGGTCCAATACTCCAATAGCTAGTCAGGAATGGGTCAGCATAGCCATTGTGTGTTAGTTGACTAGTCAATTTTGTAATGTCTTATTGTCGTGTAATCATATTTGTTAGCAGCCGTACGTTGCAGGGTTCAAATTATAGGTCAATAAAATAGAAGTATAGGTTGAACTTATTGTTGCTATTAGTGTCTAAGCATTTGAGACATGTAAATCAATTGAGACACATCTAACAAATTACCTCATTTATTGTTCTTTAGGATATAGTGAATTTTTTTTTTTTTAGCAAAATAATGAAATTATATTAAGATAAGTCAAGGTTGAGTACATGAGCCAAAGAAAAGAAAGGGACTGAGAAACAATATAAACAGTCAGACTTGCACAAGGCCTCTCGAGCTAGGAAGTGGGCGACCTTGTTCGCGGACCTTTTAACAAACAAAAAGTCGATATTACAAAAGTCTCTAGCTATATCCTTAATGTCATTAATAATCATATCAAAAGAAGTAACTAGTGTCCGGTGATGAACTTTTAAGTTTGGAATTTGGGATTTTTGTGCTTGCTAAAATGTCCTTTTCAACATGCTAGTGATTTGCGAGTTTTTATTTGTCACCTATAATTTTTCATAATATTTTATTGAGAAAATTTCAATTTTGGTCCACTGACTATTGGAGTTGTGTTAATTGTAACACTTGACTTTAAAAAATGTTAATTTAGTACCTTGACTATGTAATTTCTATCAATTTTAGTCACGCCGGCCAAATTACGGCGAATTGTGACCAGAAAATATTAATAAGTAAAATAATGAGTATATTTTAGTCATTTCAATACTCTTTTCTTCTCCTCTGGTGGGTCCACCATGTTTTTCGGCGAATGATTGGAAGAAGAAGGCTTGCGCTTTAGTTCCTTAAGATACAGCACTGATTCATGCCTACTCAGACACGATTTTTCATCACCGGTAAACCCCGTCCCATCAAGTCAACAATACGACAATAGAGAGTTTTAATTTATCTTTTGGTATGCCGCCGGGAATCACCGCCGAGAAGCCATTGAAGAACGGCCACACTTTATATTGCCTGAAGACCAAATCCAGAACCGTAATGTTCAGGAATAAAGCAACTGGAATCACCAGCAATAACAGACCACATTTGCAGTAACCTCCATTATTATCCTCAAGGGCGTGGTGACGATGATGATCTGACTGAGGCTTGGGTTGATGATGATGAACAGAACTTCTTTTGTGTGCATGTGGCTCCATTTCTGAATCAAATGCTAGCTGATGATCATTCGCCGGAAAACACAAGCATTCACCGGAAAACATGGTGGACTCACGGGAGGAGAAGAAAAAAGTTGTGAAATGACTAAAATACCCTCATTATTTTACTTATTAATATTTTTCGGTAACAATTCGCCGGTAATTTGGCCGGCGTGACCAAAATTGATAGAAATTGCATAGTCAAGGTACTAAATTAACATTTTTAAAAGTCAAGTGTTGCAATTAACATAACTCCAATAGTCAGTGGACCAAAATTGAAATTTTCTCTATCTTATTGAATGTTTTAATGAGTATTCCTCGACTTACAAAATCCCTACAAAATAAATGATAGTTGATGCGGTCTCTCTTCCAAACTCCCCTTACCCCTATAAAAAATAACTCAACAATCTAATCCAAATTTAATATAGCTCGATGTTCTTCGTGAATTATTTAAGACATTTCTACTTATTTGTTACATACTAGCTTAGTCCATATTATCTCCACATTTATTGTTGTCATTACTTGATTTATTAATGAGTTTGAATCGTATCGGTATTTTGTATATATCAAATGATAAATATTTGATGCACCACTCATCTATAAAAACCGCAAGAAACCAGAGGTGAAGATTTTATATATTTTAATCAATAAAGTATTAATAATAATTAAAATAATAAAAGTAATAATAAAAATGTAAAAGCTGGCAGAATTGCAACTGCAATTCTGACAATCAAATTGCAACAAATGTAATTCTATTTTAGAGTTGCTATATATATATTTTTAATACTTACAATGTTCATAATTATTTTCTCAATTTACTAAAATACAAAGAGTCAATACTGTCTCCACTGCTCGAACCCACAATTTCTCATATGCACAAATAACACATTAACTTTGCAATTGCGATGAAATTATGTTGTGTTTAATATTTTAATTGACAATTATATTGTTTTATTTTTTAAAAAAGGTGGCGTAGCGGACCGCAGACGGGTAAAGGGTAAGAGTTAGTTGATTTAGAGTGAACGCCAAACCGGCACCGAACCCATCTTTCCCGGCCGTTCACGCCACCGCTTGTTTCCGCTCAGCAATGTCGAGGTACCGACCGAATCTGGCGGTCCGCGTAGAACCGGATGAAGCCGAAGATCTCCGGTATGACGACGAAGAAACCGCGGCGGAGAACAACGAAGAGGAGGAAAGCCGAGGCGTTGATTGCCCTGGCGATCATGTCGGCGTGCCTTCTCGTCCTTACCTCATGAAAATTCTCCAAAAGCAAGGTATTTTTCTCAGTTATCTCGCACAATGTATTTTGAGTTGCTTGATATTTTGGATTAGATAGATTGCTGGCAGGACGGGTTGAAAGCTATCATTTGATTAATGGAAGAACATTTGCAATTCTATTTAAATATACTTAATGGCTTGATATCTGATCGTTTATGCAAGAACTGAACTATATTTCTAGCTGCAGGGAAAAGGATTGATTAAGTGTCTATAACTTGAATACAGGTGTTCTAATCCTTGGTATTAACATGCATTTTTTACTGTCGTTACCTTCCTTCATCAGTTATATTTTGCTCACTGAATTTCTTTTGGCAATAAAAAGGGAGTGTTTAATACTTAGATCTCTGAAATATTCTTTTTAGATTTTGCTCCTCTTTTCCCCTCCTAAGATGATAGATGTGTACAAGTAGTGTCAAAGAGTGATAGATGTGTTCACAAGTAAACGATATTACTTATGAAAGCAAAACAATGACTTGGAAACCAAATGAGGATCGTTGTGATGAATTTTAAGGATCTAGGCGGTGCCTTCTAGATTGGAGTACATTCATTGTTGGAAGAAAAAGGTTTAAAAATTTAAGCTCACATTATTGGGTCTATATGAACGTGTGATGATGATGATATGGAAGTTTTCTTTTGGATGAGAGTGGATGATCTTGGAAGTTTAATGTTCTGTCTTTTTTACTTGGTGTATAATGTAAGTGAATGATATTGTTATTAAGTTTGTAGGTTTGTTTTATTACATTGAGCACCTATTTGACTTGTCAGCGAGCTTTCCCAATTTTGAACAACTGCATTTGGGAACTTAAGAATACAGAGATTTATGTTCCATGTCTGCAAAGAACTTCTTGCTTCCTGGAACTTCTCTCAGTAGGGTGTTCATTTATTTAACTTTTTAATTGGGGACAATTGCATTTTTAGTTGCTAAGTTATGAATGAATAGTGATTTTCACCCCTTGTTTCGTGTGCACATATAGAGAAAACTTGTGTGTACTGAATATGACATATTTTGCAGGAGACACGAACCTTGTCTTTGCCGATAAGGTTTTGAGGTTCACGAGTTCAGGGAAGATGAAACGACGCATCCTTCTTATCACTGATTTTGCAATTTACATTGTGGACCCAGAAACTGATGTTCTTAAGAGGCGGATTGCCCTGGCAGCTGTTGAAAAGCTCTGCTTGAGCAAACTAAGTGATAACTTCTTTGCAATTATTATCCCAACCGAGTATGATATACTCATGGCAAGCACTAGGAAAACTGAAATTGTAATGTGCATAGCGGACACTACCAGGAGTGTATCTAACTATGAACTTGATGTCTTTCACTCAAATAGGTAATGAAGGCTGTAGTATGGTGATGTTAGGGTCCCAGTTCTCCTTCTTCTTTTTCCCCTTTAAATAATATGCCTCTCTTATGAGTATTTTTGTATTCTTTCTGATTTCTCAGGTTTGAGTATAATGCGACTGCCGAGTTAGTGAAACAAATTAAATTTGAGGAAGTTGAAGGTTAGTAATGATTCTATCACACCACACCACTTACATGTTCACAATTGTTTATTTGATTATAAAGCTTTCAACTTCTTCTTGGACCAGGTGGTGTTAAAACAAGAATTGTGCAGAACAATACTCAGCGTAAAGAATGAGTTTTTTTAATTACAAATGGCTAATTTTGGTTGCATGCTTGTGTACTCCATATAAATAGATAGTAAAAGATGTGGAGGAGATTGAATATATTCTTTCATGGAACATGTACTCTAGAGCTTATAACCTCTCTGTAACATTTCTGAAGTTTTCTGGATAATATGAACAAAATTTTACTATTGGGATTGTTTTGGCATTTCCAAATCTTGTGAATTGTGCAGTGTTCCCCCTTCAAATGATTTTAATGTGACTACCGAATATGAAAAAAAAAAAAAAAAAAAAAAAAAAAAAACAAGATTCTTTAAAGACTTGAAACTATATACTCATGTAGGGAAGGGCACTAACCCAATGATTGAAATGGTTAGGATTGTTGATTAAACCAACATGAAGACATGTTTATAGGGTATTATCAGCCATGCATACAAACAATAGAGACATTTTTTTTGTGTTCTTAAAGTAAAGGAAAAAACCTAAGAAAACATTAAAATCAATGTTTGTATGAAGAAGGTCCTGTTTGAGGCATGGAAGGTGTTAAAGCTGGTGTTGTACCTCCTGTGGATGTTTGATTTCCAGTACTCACCATTCTAATGCCCTCTACCATCTTCACTACATCTGCTATTTTTGGTCTCTGCTCTGGCATTCTAGCTGCACAGCTCATCCCTATCTGCAGCATCTCTACCATCTCTTCCTCTATATTGGGGTACTTCAGAAGCTCTATATCAAACACTTCAGCCGTCCACTCTTCGCGAACGACAGAGTGTACCCATCTCACCAGATGGACAACCTCGTCGCTCCCTGTTGTATGCACAGGTGACTTCCCGGTGAGAAGCTCGAGCAGCAGGACGCCAAAGCTGTAGACATCGGATGCCTGAGTTGCTTTCCTCGTGTCTGTGACTTCTGGGGAGCGGTATCCTGCAGTTCGGGTGAGTGTTGGAGCAGCTGGAGTTATCAGTGTTGCCAGGCCAAGGTCAGACACACAACCATACTGTTTGGAGTTGAGGAATATGTTTGAGGATTTTATGTTCCCATGGACAAGCTTTGCTCCACTCTGTCCATGGATGCAGGCGACTCCTCTCGCTGCACCAACAGCAATTCTGACACGCGTTTCCCAGTCTAGAGGTAACCGGTTTTCGCCCCTATTAGCTGCAGTTTACAAAGGTATATATATATATATATATATATTACAATGTGATCTTGCCAATCATACTGGATTTGAATTTGACAGAAAAATACTAAGAGTATGGGTACTAAACATACCATGCAGCATTGCAGAAACACTCCCATGGTTGTAGTAATCATAGACCATGAGCTTTTCATCTTTGGAGTAATAGTATGCCCTCAAAGGAGCCACATTTTCATGCCTGATACTCCCTGCAACTTCCATCTGCAGCTCGAATTCTTTTCTCCCAACGCAAACTTCCTTCAGTCTTTTCACAACAACCGTGGTTGCATCCTCCAGAGCCGCCTTGTATGTAGTCCCGAATGTTCCCTTCCCTAGAACCTCTGCAGAAGCTCTTAACAGGTCCTCGAGGTCGAATGCAAGATTACAGCCCTCAAAGAATACAAGGTTGCTGTTTCCTTTCCGGCTGCTGGAAGCTGCCTTCTTAACAGGCACTTCGTTTTTGAGCGATCTTTCTGAGGCCCTATTCTCATGTTCTTTCTGTGAATAACAAAGAATCAACAGCACAGCAACTACTATAAACCCTAATGCACAACCTCCAATCACGATTCCCAGCACAGCAGGTTGGCTAAGATGTGTGGACTTCTTCTTTGGCGAAACACTTGGAGAAAGGGCAACTGGAGCTGGAGGTGAAGCGACATTGGGAGAAAGATGATTACCAGCAAAAGCTGAATCAGGGAATCTCTGAAGAGACCGGGGCACGATCCCAGTGAGGTTATTGTTTGACAGATCTAACATCTGCAAGCTGGGGAGAATGAGATCAGGAATATCACCAGACAGTGAGTTATTAGCCAGACTAAAAGCAGTCAAATGAGTCAAGTTTGAAATCGAGGAAGGTATAGTGCCATTAAACTCATTATTCGACAGATTCAAGATTGAAAGATTCCTCCACCCAGAAAAATCAGCTGGCAGAGAACCCTGAAAGCCATTGGACTGAAGATAGAGAGCTGTCAAGTTCCCAAGCTCTGCAAAATCCGAAGGGAAAGGACCACTGAAAGCATTGGCTCTTAGACTCAAGATCTCAAGCCCCGATAACCTGCTCAGAGTGTTTACAGGAATCGAGCCACGCAATCCCATTGCAGGTAATCTCACTGCTATAACTCTAGATTTATCATGATTACATGTCACTCCAACCCAGCCACTGCAAGCTGAAGTCCACTCTTTCCAGTTCACCTTTGGCGAATGGTGTATGTTTCCAAGGAAATCAAGAAGAGCTCTTTTATCTTCAGTTGGCTCAGCTCTTGTCAAGCAGGAAAAAACAACAGCTCCACAAAACACAACTGCCAAGTATGTTACTATCTTACAACCCATTCTTTTCCTTCCTCTCTTTCTTTCTGTGAGCTAAAGCTAAACACCTGAACCAAAACTAGCACCTATCTCTCTTCATCTCTGCAACAATTTCAAGAAAATCAGAATCAGCAACTGCAGTGTTATGACTACAATTACACCTGCCATAAATGATTCCCAATCACATTAAAAACAGACGTTTCTTTCTTATAAATACACATTCTTACCCAACACATTGGGTATATGGATATAGACAGCCCGGGCTTGATCCTTGGTCCTTACCCACAATTTACCACCCAGAACCAAAGACCCGTTAGCTTTGAATCTAAATACAGAAAGCCCACCAAATTGGGTGTAACCCAGTCTCCCACTCCAGCTGTAAAGGCTCAATCTTGTGTTATTTATACCCGGGAACCAACTGAGCTACCCGTGCGGTTATAAATACACATTCTAAAAGACCCAAAAAGACGTTAGCTTTGAATAAACACATGAAGCCAACAGACAGAATTTTACTAAACCAACCACTCGCCAGACAATGAAAATCAAAACATTGTGAAGATAAGAGATGAATGAAAGCTGAGACTCACCGATCAGTTTGAAGATTCACGGCGAAGCAGCAGACGCTAGTGGCGGCAGCTGAGAATGATGAACATGAACGCAGAGAGTGGAATTGGAGAGGGGTTGTAAGTAGTAGCGGAGTTACGCTATCAGTGATTGCTTGAAGAAGCAGAAATGATTGGTGGGGTGTGGTGAAAGGGACATTGAGAGGGGTGTAATGAGTGAGTGAAAGTGTTTTGGAGAAGAAAGGGGAGCGAAAAGAGTGGAGGATGCACGTGCAGACATTGCGGAAGTGCTACGTAGAAGAAGGAAGGAAACAGCTTTTACTATTTGGAATAAATAAATAAATAAATAAATATATATATATATATATAGAGTTAATACCATCTGAGATCATCCGAGTACGGTGGTTTTGTCACGTATAGTCCTAAACTTTCAAATTGATCATCTGTGGTCCTTCGACTTTCAAATTTAACCATTCGTGGTCCTAGGTAACCACCCATAGTCCTTCAACTATTAAATTTTAACCAACCAAGGTCCTTTCAAGAGGACCACGATTGGTTAAATTTTAAAACTTGAAGGACTATGTGTGGTTATCTTGGACCACAAATGGTTAAATTTGAAAGTTGAAGGACCACATATGATCAATTTGAAAGTTTAGGACTATACGTGGCAAAACCACTATACTCAGAGGACCTCATATGGTATTAACTCTCTCTCTCTCTCTCTCTCTCTCTCTATATATATATATATATATATATATATATATATATATATATATATATATATATATATATATATATATATATATATATATATAAAAGCGCTCATATGTGGTCATGTCATTAGGTGTGGTCGTGTGGTCGTATCTGGGTCGTTGAATCAGTTTAATCTAAAGGCAGTGGTAATTCTGAGAATTTTCGCGCGTTTTAGTAAGTGGGGGTGTTATGGTAATTACAGTGACCATTTATAGCGGGCGGGTTCCAGAATACACCAACAGTGTTGACAACATACACCAATAGTGTAATAAAACACACCACAGTGAAACACACCAATGGTGTATTCCCGTGTTATGGTAATTACAATGGCCATTTATAGCGGTCGGGTTCCAGAATACACCAACAGTGTTGACAACATGCACCAATAGTGTAATAAAACACACAACAATGTGATTTTCCTTATTCCGGTGTTTTATGACAAGTTTACCCTTACAGTTCTCTTGATTAATATGAATCATTAGATCTATCTAATCTAATGGTCTATAATTGACCATATGACCACACCTAACAACATGGCCACATGTGAGCGCTCCTCTATATATATATATATATATATATATATATATATATATATATATATATATATATATATATATATAATATATATATATATATATATATATATATAGAAAAGCGCTCATATGTGGTCATGTCATTAGGTGTGGTCGTATCTGTATCGTTGAATCAGTTTAATCTAACGGCAGTGGTAATTCTGAGAATTTTTGCGCGTTTTGGTAAGTGGGGGTGTTATGGTAATTACAGTGGCCATTTTATAGCGGGCGGGTTCCAGAATACACCAATAGTGTTGACAACATACACCAATACTGTAATAAAACACACCACAGTGAAACACACCAATGGTGTATTTCCATGTTATGGCAATTACAGTGGCCATTTATAGCGGTCGGGTTCCAGAATACACCAACAGTGTTGACAACATGCACCAATAGTGTAATAAAACACACAACAATGTGATTTTCCTTATTCCGGTGTTTTATGATGAGTTTACCCTTGCAGTTTACTGATATGACCACACCTAACAACATGACCACATGTGATCACCCCTCTATATATATATATATATATATATATAGAGAGAGAGAGAGAGAGAGGTTCATTAACATGCGAACCTGCGAATTTCTGTATAATTGCAATGCATTTATTATATAATTACACCATACTCGAATACTGCAAGGTCCTCCAAACATGTTTTGGAGTCGTAGCGGTGTAATCGTATAATAGTTACTGTACAATCATTCAGAAGTTCGTTCGCAGGTTAATATTGGTTCTCACATTATGATTTTATATATATATATATATATATATATATATATATATATATATATATATATATATATGCATCACTGCGATGTGAAACGGGACAAATGGAAACAAAAAGAATAAATAATTATTGCAGAGAAAACGAATAGAAGATGTCGGCTGTAGTTTAAGTGGAGATAGAAAAACTGAAGAAAAAGCAAACTGTACTCCATTTCTGTCGTGTTTTGAGCAGCTCGTCATGAACTCTAAGAAGGAAAATATTATAATTCTGTCATAATGTTAATACTTTTTAGCTCAGTTCGTCGGTTCTTTTTATTGTTGTTTACTTTTTTTTCTTTTTTTTTTTTTTTTTGTGTGTAATTTGTGAGCTATTATATAAAAATGAGATTTACTCAATATACACTATTGGACACTAGTCGAGTAGATGCAAGTTTTTCTCATCATTCAAACAAAAGGATTAAGATTGTGTAGATTTCTTTCGTTTCCATTATTTTTTACTATATGTCTCATATTGATCGATTTCGTACAAGTTACATAATAAATAAATAAACGGTTGATTCAAGTGAAAATAATTTAAATAGTATATATAGTAATGCTCTTATGAGAATTGTCTTGAATGAGATCTTATCAAAATTAAACTTGTATTATTTGCAAGATATACATAATACCACTCGGAGGAGAAGATTAAATAGTATATATATATAGTAATGCTCTTATCAATCTTATGTGAATTGTATTGAATGAGATGTTATCAAAACTTGTATTGATTTGCAAGATATACATAATACCCCTTGGAGTGGAAGTTATAAATCAAGACAATAGGTTCATTAGTTCATATGTAGGTGAGTTAATTATAGTGTGTTATCATATTTGCTTACAAATGGTAAATATTTTCATCCCAAGGGCTCTTACATCCGGCTCGACAATATTATAAAATCATTTTTAATTTTATGTAAATATGTTTGATAGTGCAAATATAGCACTGATAACCGTGCAATTTTAATAGTTATATATAAATTTTGTAAGTATGATACAATTTGAATTGACGATTTAAAATATGATATGTAATAAAACTTTACGTATTTTATACTATGTATATATTCTTTTCTTTGGCTTATAATACATAATAAGGGTTTCATTGTAATGCATGGGAGTAATTAAAAATGGAAAAACCTTAGATTAGACAAAGAAAATGATGAGAAATGATATGATGATCACATGCATGATGCATGGCAGTTGGAACATATTATTCACTTTATTGTCAATATGTTTTTTATATGAAAAAATTTCAATTTTGGTCATATGATTATAGGGGCTTTGTTAATTTCAGCACCTGACTTTCAAAAGTATCAATTTAGTACCTTGACTATGTAATTTTTATCAATTTTAGTCACTCCAGTTAAATTACTGGTCAAATTTCGCTGGAAAAACTTAATCCTTCATTTAGTCTATAATCTGAGGGGCAAAATCGTCTTTTGAAGTCTGGTAAAATCGTCTTTTTTCGGCAAAATTTGGCTGGAATGATCAAAATTGACAAAAATTACATACTCGATGTACTAAATTGACACTTTTAAAAGTCATGTGCTAAAATTAACAAAACCCCTATAGTCATATGACCAAAATTGAAATTTTCTCTTTTTATAATAATACTAAACGTGCAATTGAAAGCTACTACAGATTAAATCTTTGTTTAAGAAATAAAGAAATTGATTTTAAAGTTACACATCAATCATGCATCATCTCCCTAACAAATCCCACTTATTACGAGCAACGACAATTTGAACAAGTCTTCCTCTTTTTGCTATTTTTTTTTTAATAGCAAAATTTATTTTTTATTTAACACTATGGTGAGATTGTCATATTTAGTTATATTTTTTAAATTTCTAAGTTATTATATAAAGATGTACACATGTAAACTCTGCTCCTATATAATAATACTCAAAATTACATAATAGAAGTAAATCACATTAAAAATATCAAATTTGTGACATTCTAGTAAGAGAATCAAACTCCACCTATTCGAATGTCCACCCATTTCGAGTGTCCTACTATTTTAACTTTGCCCCACTATTCATTGATTTTCAATTTATTGTCATATTTAGTCATTATTGTAAAATTTTGTCATTATACAATTTAATAACAATGACTAACATATAATTTCATCATTAGAGCATATTTTCCCAAAACGTAATTTTTCTCTATTTCAAATAAACTGTTTTGATTGAATGATGAAATCACATGTTAATCATTTTATCAATTAATAAAATTAACACAAATTAAAAAAAGAACTATTTAATGTGACAAAAAATTAAAAATATTCATGAATATGATAATGTCATAATAGTTGAATACTAAAAATGAAATTCGCTCATTTATCCATTATCCATCTTCTCATTTTACCTTTTATATTTATTATTTATTACTAATATTTTTTTTATACCCAATGCACAAAAAATAGGTCCCCAATATTAGTACGTTATATTAAAATTTTTGATTTATTTAGATGTTAAATATTTACATTATTGTAAATAATAATAATAATAATAATAATAATAATAATAATAATAATAATAATAATAATAATAATGTAAAACATTTTCATAAATTTAATATTTATATTTTATGAAACAACCCCAAATCGTCATTTGTCAATGGCGATACGGAGTACTTGAGGACTTCTGGGTGTGGGGTGGAATCATTTTGCAACGCAATTGAAAAGCTTAGGATGTCGTCATTTGGTCGGCTTCAATCTAACTGCTATTGTTTTTGTCCATGATTACATGAATCATCTACTATATATGCTGAGCCAAAAAAAAAAAAAAAGAATCATTTCTTTGTCATCAAAGAATACCCTTTCCTAAAATAGGATTTCAATTGAAAAAGTT